TTCTTCTTCTTCTTCTTCTTCTTCTTCTTCTTCTTCTTCTTCTTCTTCTAAATCCTTTGTCAGGGGGGAGGGGGGGGGGTGTCTTAGATAGGTGAAAGACTTTGACAGTGTCATTAAACCATAATAACGTAGAAAGAAAGTGATTGTTTTTTAAGATGGTTGTTTTGGAAAGGTGGCCGCTAGAACAGGTTTGACTCAATATATTCTTCAACATGGCGGCCATCAAGCTCACGTCATACAAAACGGTTTGCCTGAAAACTACTATAGGTGCCACGACGTTGTAAAATGAGAGGCTAGGGCCTAGTCAATTTTCGGGCATATGAAGTAACAAGCTTAATCTTAAGGCCTGTTCGTTTGATTTGCTTTTGAAGGAAAAACATCTATCTTGAACAGAAGTGGATTAAAGAAAGTGCGGTGTCAACGATAAAACTGGCAAGAACATGGCCGCCAAAGTTTGGAGACTTCCAAAACTGTATAGTCCTTGGAAACTGAAAGTTTACATTTGTAGTGCCTTTCATCAACTTTTTAAAGTAAAATCCATACAGAAGCGGGTTTTTTACTGGACGATGATGGTCTTTAAGTCCCGGGGACAAATAAGGAAGCAAGTAGACTACATCCTTATACAACCACGTTTCAGAGGCTCAATAACCTTCCTGTAGGTCAATACCAGGGGCAGATTGGGGAAAGTGTGGAAGTCAAACTAGAAAAGAATGTAGTGTAAAGAAATAAAAAGTAACAGGACCAAAGATAACAAATTCATCCCTAAAAGATTCAAGATCTGTCAAGAAAGAAACGGTCACCCAATAGAAGTTGTCTAAAATCAAAAAGAGGAGAAATCTTGATGTATACTATTGATATATCGAACAGATGGTCAGAATATACTGAAGAACTGCACTATATCTATGAGGCGTCGGTGGCCTAGAGGTTAAGCTACGGGACTCGTAATCGTGAGGTTGCGGGTTCGGGGGTTCGAGCCGCGGGCCCGACGTTGTGTCCTTGGGAAAGACAATTTACATTATTATTATTATTATCATTATTATTACTATTGCTATTATTATTATTATAGTTGTTGTTGTTGTTGTTGTTGTTGTTGTTGTTGTTGTTGTTGTTGTTGTTGTTATGACAATAGAGGGCCGGCGCAAACCTTTCTGAAAGACATCGAGGGACCACCAATTTTAATAGAAAAAGTACAAGACGCCATGAATAAAATGAAATATTACAAAGCACCAGGCCCAGACCCCATACCCATTGAAATTATCACAGCACTAGAAGAGTTGGGTATCAAAGAAGGGAGCAACATTGCTCAACATCATATACAACACCGGAGAGATACCAGAAAATCTGAAGAAGTCAATATTTCTTCTATCCCGAGGTTGGGTCAACCGTAGGGGTACCACTGCATCTGACAACCAGCTCTCGCCAGTTCTCTCTGTCCTCTGCTTTCAAGATGTATAGCATTGGGGAAAAAAGGTGAAACAACAGAATGTGAGCAGCACAGGACAATCAGTCTCATGAGTCATCTTAGTTAAGACCTCCTTCCGGTACTTATGAAAAGAATGAGAAATTAAATACCATCTAAAATCTCTTAAACGCCTATTTTTTATTTGGGTTTGTTGCGTTACGAATAAAGGTACCCGAAAGCTATCTTCCGCCTAAAGATGCTCTTGGAAAGACCAACTGAGGTCCAGAAAGATCTTTACCTCTGATTATCGACTACTCTAATGCATTTGAGAAAGTGAGACATAAAGAACTATTGAACATCTCAACAGATCTGAACATTGATGGAAAAGATCTAAGAATACTGAAAAAACTTTATTAAGAACAACAGGCAGTAATCAGTGTCGATAACGAGCTCAGCGAATACAGGCCAAT